AAAAACGAATATCAGCATTGCTGTACGTTGTGCATGCGCGTACACGGCAGGCAGTTGAGCAGGTACGCAGGTAGGCACGCGGCAAGGTAGGCCAGCAGGAAGCTATGCAAGCACGGAAGCAGAGGCAAACCTCAAGGATGTGTGTGTGAAGCCTGGTAAATGACACTTGGGTAAAAAGTATACAACACATGTCCCATCACATGTAGCATTGCTGTTACATACCCTATTGTGTCTCGCCTCTTACTTGCGCAATCGGATCAACCAACACATATATTGATCCGTCAGGAAGGCTTTAAAATCGCGAACGACAGGAAATGTACGCATGCTTGCGTAAATCACCCTTGCATCGTGTCGTACCGTATGAATGGATGGCCACTTTTCCCAGCATACGGGTCCCACACCGTTGTTGTATCCATTCTTGCAGCGAGCCTAGCACAGCGCAACCTCCCATCTGCACACGACTCGGAACGGTCCCTACACCGCGGCCATAATTCCTGAGGAAGCAAGCCTTAAGACCTACAGATAATGGTACCATCCGGATGGAATGTGATTCTCCTGGAAGCGGGATTAGAAGCAGAGCTCGGTCAGTAGCAGGTCTCCGCATTGAGTGAAGAGATCAGTGATGAATGTTTCTAGTGGCTGCTGCTGCTGCTGCTACTGTTGTCGCAAGCCTGCTGTTGTTACTGCCGTTGCTGTATGTACTGCGGGTAGTGCAGTACATACAGACTGCGGCATTGCGATCGCTCGTCAGTCGTCGTCACCCGTTCGACGCCCGCCGACATCCAGGGGATGTGTGCAGCCGTAGACGACGCGCTCAACAGCGTAGGTGTACTTAACTAACAATCTAGGATTTGGAGCAGGCGGCCGGTTTTGGGGTTTGTGTCTGGAACTTCCAGAGGGTTTTCAAAGGCTGCAAGACGTCCGGCGGGAGTCTGGCAGACATTAACCCGCCTTACATTGATCCCTTTGCTATGGTTCTCTCCACCGCATGAAATACATCATCGAAATCGCGCACATCTATCCTTTGAAGAATCAGCAACTAATTTTGCAAGTTAAGTCTCCTTAGAGCTCCTGCTGAGAGCATAGCAAATTATTCCGCCTAATTAAGTGCAACAAATCGTGCTCAGGTTGCTTCGCTAAACGTGCATCACGCAACGGCACCAGGATTTATACAACAGCCTGGCCTATAATCTCCTATAATTGCTTGCTAGGGTTGGCCAGCAGGAGTCGCTAGGGCAAGCTTGCAGGAAAGTCCTTGCTTTGACGCGAAAAAAGGTCCCTTGCATTGCTTTCAAAGAAATTGTAATGATCGCAGACGGGAGAAAGAACGCCAGCTGCGTAAATTTGTAAGTGCACACGCATGCACCAAGCGATGGTGGAAACGTCGGAGCAGTTGCAGCAGCCCAAACTACGGAAGCCTGATGAAACACATAATAATTTTTTTCATTTATGATAAATTCTGATATTTAATGAACGGAGCGTTGTCGTGTGAGCTATGACACACCGCTCGCTTGAGGTAGGACAGCGCTAGCTAAACAGTCAGAGATGCGACACATCAGCTTGTCTTGCAGGGCATTCTTGATAAGCTGTACTTTTACATAAGAGACAATTTCAGGCGCGAGCAGTTCCTTGAACGTGAACATTACAGCTTACCGCAGCAAACGAGCATATACTGCAGCATGGTAAATATCTCAAACTGGCAAGAGGAGCTGCGAGTTCCCAACCATTACCACTCTATGCCTCTCTTAGAACCAAGTGGCTGCGCTTTCCCTCGGTAGGTCATAACGACTATACTAAAGCTAGATAGTACACAACTGCACACTGGCTTTGAGCGCTGAGAAAGTCGAGACGAAGCAAGAGTGGACCGTAGTGCACAGAAACGGATTAACCTCGTGCTGCCGCGACCACGTGGTCGCGTACAAGTCAGTGGTGCACCACTGACTTGTACCGGGCACCTGTCACCGGTACCGGATACCTGGGTACATGGGGACCGGAGCACCTGTTCCGCAGGAATACCAATCAATCAGGACCTCTTCCGGAACGCAGGGAAATGCAGTATTAAGAAGTACAATACAGTACATCGTGCGCCTTGCATGTTTTGCCCAGCACCCAACGCCAACCACGAAGCACCTGGGGCGACCGTTTCAAAACTGGTAGGAGGCTGGTATCACAAAAATGTACTGGTGTTATCACTTGTCGTTAGTTGTTCACGGTTGTTCCTTGCGCTGTTCGATCCGCCGCTGCGCAGAGCTAAGTGCCTCATTCCGAACATTCCGGACGATCTGACAAGCGAGGCAGGCTTGGATCTAATCCGATTTCCTACTTTAGTTGCTGAAAGCGTGTCAGATCAAATGTCTGTCATCCGCCTTCGTTTAGCAGCGCTCGCCGTTCTTGCACTTGCCGGCAGTTCTGCTGTTGCCGTGGCCGACGCTGCACCATCAGGCCAGTCACTGCCGCCGCCGCAGCTTGCCAAAAGCCCGAATCCACAAGCTCGCAAGCCGCCCCTACGCCTTCGTTCCAGCCCGCCGCCGCCGCCGCCGCCGGCCCCCCGTCCTCCTTCCCCTCCGAAACCCAGCCCATCCCAACGGCGGCCTCCGCGTATCCGGCCCTCTAGCCCGCCAGCTCCACCACCTCCAAGTCCACGGACGCCGGCGCCAGGTACGGGTCTACCGTCCCGGCGTTGAGTCAGCTTGAATCATCCGGTGCGGAAAGGTTTAAATAAACGAGCCCTTATAGTACACCAGATTACCCAGTTGCAAGGCCACCGCCGACCAACGTGGAAATTAAACAGGACTGTACCCTGTCACATACTCTTGGTTGTCGGGCAATTATTATCCATCGCCTTACGGTTCTGGAGCTAGCCGGCGTCCTGCTGAAAAGTAGTGTAAATTTCCGTCCCTGCAGGGGCCCACTTGCTTCCCTAGGTCAGGTAGCAGGTGCTTACACATGCGGTGTGCACGCACATACATACACGCATCATACATACACACGCACACACACTGCGGGAAAATCGAAAAACATTCCCGGAGTGGTATCGCACGTCGGTTTACCACTGCTCGTTCTTCCCACCTGTAGATGTGGCCTGCTTGCGCAAGGGATACAGCCGAAGCGATGGCCCAATGTGGTCGACTCCTTGCCCGCCCGGTTTCGAAAGCTACGGCCCGTTCTGCGTCCCCAAGTGCGCTGATGGGTACACGGCAGCCGGGCCCATGTGCTGGGACAGCGGTGTCCCGGCCGGTTATCCCGTCCAGTGCAACACCGCCTCCTGGGGCCGGACTCAGGAGGAATGCGATGAGGTTGTAAGGGTGTTCGCGGCCGTGTCCAACAAGATACAGCTGAGCAATGAAGCGTGTGTGGGTGCCTTGATTTCCAGGTCCCTAGGTTCCAACGGCGGGATGTCGTCGTACCTGCTTGTGTCCATGTGCCCTCCATACATTGTTGCATTACCGTCGGAGGGGATTTCCGCGGTCATTACGTTGACCGCGTTCTCAGTATGCCCTTAGTAATTTATCCATTCACCTGATGGTGGCGAAATAATGCGGCTAGGTGTCGGTTGGTCGCTTGATTGGTTGGTCGGGTTCTGTCCACGAAGCGGCCGTAATCCGCTGTGAGCCTCTTCTGGATCATCACCGTCGATATCATGTGTAATTCCTTTTCTACAGTAAATTAGCCGCTGGGAGGCGGCACGCTGTCAAATTGGCGGCAGCCCACCCTTCGAGCTAGGCCCTGATCCGTACCGCCGATATACAACCCCACAACCGCGTGCCCGCTTACTGAGAGACTACTGTTCCCAGGCATGAAAATCATGATTCCAAAAGCGCGAAGCCAGTCCCCGAACGCTGCCGCAGATCATGTACGGAGGCTCTACCTGAATCGGTTCTGGACCATGATGAAACCTGCCGCTGCCTCTGCTTGTTAGCATGGATAGGGGTTATGTGACGAAGATCAAAGAACACAGTAGGCTGGATTTGGCTGAAGTGACGACAGAATTAAACCAAAACGGAATTGGACGAGTGCCGTATGGGCTCCAAACTTTGTCTTTGCTGTCTCTGAATATAGCATTTTTTAGACCTGCACTTATGTAACGATCTCGCATTCTTCTGTGCTTTACTTTAATAATTTGGCGGCCTCCGTTAACCGGGGGTGGCGCTGGTGTGCAAGCTGCTTGGCACGATCTCATATTTACTAGAGCTCATTAGTCCTAAATACAGTATCTGACATTGAACCCAACCATCTGGGAAATTTGCGGACTAAAGTGCAGGGGGCCCATCCCGGCGCCATGACATCCAATTTGACGGGACACGATGGGGAAGGCCGGGTGAGTTCTACATCGGCGTAATAGCTGTGATCTGGAGTATACCTTGGGTAAAAGCGATACGTGTCCCCGGCATGTACGTTCGCGTTCGTCATGTGCCTCCCCAGATGCTGGACTCATAAGTGAGAGGGCGCATGAGCGCCCACTTGTCTGGTGCTCAACCTTAAGATATCTCACCTGTGTTATGTTGAGCCCCATCGTGATTTAACTCGGGCGTGTAGCCTTGCACAATTTTGCCACACTGTCCGTGTCTCTGTCCCGGAACCGTACCTGCACGAACTCGCTATATCCTAGCAGGACACAATGAGCCGCATGCATATCCGCTGCGTGTTTGAAAGCCTTTTTCCGTGCCCGCATAACTGGACAGGAGTTTGCATCTCCTGACGAGCTATGGGCGGTAGAGGCGGACGAGGACGGGGGACACAATAGCTGGTACGGATGTTGTGTACGCTAATGTCCTGGGATTCCGCAGATTTGTATCCAGCAAGCGGCCTCAACGTTGTGTGTCTATTGCGATGGACTCTGAAGACCCAGCTAGCTTTGCTGACGTACAGATAGGCAGGCGGGGCGAACAGACAGAGACGTACACAAGGATACCGCCCCCTGGCAAGCCTCTTACTGTAGACATTCCATTAAGTACTAGAAGGGTGCAATCCAACCTCGATCTCGTTCGTAAACTGCATCCATGGTTTTGTTGCGGGGCGACCTGCCGTACGCCTCTCCCAGGTACCAGAAAGCTGTGTCGTACTGGGACCAGCAAGAAGCGTCGTACAACGGTGTCTTGGGCGGCTTTGGATACACGTCGGACCTGGATGTACGGGATAGCCGGGCGCTATTGCTGAAGGTGTGCGGGGGAGGTTGGGGTCAGACGGCTCTTTGGCGCCCATAACATCCACGCGTCGTATTCACTGCTTGCACGCCTGTCTGTATGTCTATACCGCCTCATCTCTCTGTCAACCAACCTCTCCCACCAGGCCATGAGGGTCCAATTGGAGGCTGCAGACAAGGGGACGAGAACGCTGACAGCGCTTGGTAAGAGAATGAGCGAGGGGAGGGGCCATATGGAGGGATGTGGGGAGGAGGAGCAAATGGTAGGAAAAAGCAAACGCAAAGAGAGGCCGTGCAGCGTCAGTAAAAGGGAGCCCAGCTGTCCCTTTTGCTGGCTTAGGGGGAAAGCCCTTCCCCCCGTCCCCCTTGCTACGCTCGGCTGTGACCGTTGTCTTGTCTTCCTCCTTCCTCCTCACCTCCTCACCTCCTCCCGGGGTTCGCCCCTTACCCGCCCAGACTGCGGTGCCGGTGTGGGTAGAGTGACGGAGCAGCTGCTGCGACATCACTTCCACTGTGTTGACCTGTTGGAACCTAGCAGGCACCTGCTCGATACCGCAGGTGGGTGCGGATGTGGGCTTGCGGATATGGGCTTACGGCATTGACCTTGTTGTCTCATCTGTTTGCTCCCCGTTGGCCTTCGTTCTTGTTCGTGGCCCTCAGCTAAGAACTTGTCGGCGCGGACGGTGCCTCAGCCGCGTGGGAAAGCGGGGCAGTTCTTTTGCTCCGGCCTGCAGGTACGGAGGTACACCCGCCCATTTTGCGCTTTGCGCGGTGTGTGTGTGTGCGTGTGTGTGCTCGCTAGGTCTGTATGTAAAAGGTCATGTTGCATTTTTAAATATTTGTCTCTGCTTTGCGAGTTGCAACCTGTTATTACACAGCAGTGTGTGACGCAGATTGCAACCTGTGGTGTGACTCGCCGCAGGAGCACACGTTCGAGCCCGGCAGGTGAGAGGATGAGGGTGCTGTGCGGTGGGGGGTTACCAGGGGAAATGGTTGTGGTCGGTCGCGGCTTTACGTCCTGGCCGGAGCCCGGGGATCCTTTCCTTTTGTAATATGTGTATCGGCTGAGGGACCAGGGCAGGCAGGGCACGACAACCTGGATGAGTCCTCGCGCCTTTCTTTACCCTTTCTTCTCGTCCTAAGACCGCGTATCTGTTGTCAAGTGTTCGTACATGGTCCCTGTCGATCCAGGTACGACGCGATTTGGATCCAGTGGTGTCTGCTGTACCTGACGGATGGTAGGTAAGAGGAATCCAGGGAGGAAGACTGGGAAGCTGACGACCGCCGTTTCTTTCCCATCCTTCCTGCCGTTCTTTCCGCATCTATCTACAGGTTCCCCGCCTGTATGAAGCCCTGTCGTGTTCTGTTCTGTTCTGCGCTCTGCTGTAGTTGACTTCGTGTCGCTGTTCCAACGTGCCGTTGCTGGGTTGAAGCCCGATGGTCTTATCTTCGTCAAGGAGAACATCTGCAAGTGAGGAGGGCGGGCAGTGGGTGGGCAGCTGCTGTGGGAACTGCTCCTAGCGCTTCTAGGTCATCCTTTCAGTTGGCCTCAGTTGGCGGTGTGGGTTGCCTTTGCGCTTTGCCTCGCTGCCCGTTATCAAAGGGCGGATGGGGCCGAGCGGCCGCTGCCGTGGCGATGAAACTCCTGAAATTGAAGGAGGGCGGCAGGTTCGGGGCCCGCATGTCACGGCATGGGCCCGCATCGCGGTGAAAAAGCGGGTTGGCTCCCCGGTGTGCTAGTGATGTGTTTTCCACGCGGTGCGTGGCAGGCACGTAGACATGTGCTTGTGCTTCGAGCAAGCGTGGTTCTGCTGCTGTGGGTCCGGTGTCTTCTGTCCCTAAGTGGCGCTGGGGTTCTTTGAAGTCCACACCCTGCCCTGCCCTTCGGGTGTTTCCGTCCTGTGATTGCCGCTAACGGTTATCGACGTGTGGATGCTGCAACTGGTTTAGCTCCACGCGCTGGAAAGCCCGTTAAGCAACGAGACATGCGCTGAACTTGGAAGGCGCGACCACGCTCCGTATTGCGTTGACTCTTAATCCTTGTAGCTGACTTAGAACTAATAACTCAAGCTGATTTGTGCGCAAGCAATCACCCATTGGAAAAGTGGACGGAGTCGGCATCTTTTGAAACTGAGTTCGCTAACTAGGCTCGCACCGCGACAAAACCTATTGCGATATTCAGGAACAAAGCAGAGAAATGGTATGGAAGCTGAGATGAACGCGATGAGGCAGTCTTCGGCATAATGTATGTTGCATCAGTTGCATGCCGCGACCCCATTATGCCAGAGCTTGAGATCCCATGTCCTCATGGGGACTAATAAAAAGAAAATTTGTCAGTGTATGTCGGTTTCCGCATGCGGGGAACAGGGCTGCGCCTTTCCGCAAGCTTCAGGGAATCAAACCCCTTTGCGCTCCTACTGTGACAGGGAGGGCTTTGTCCTAGACAAGGAGGACTCGTCCTTGACTCGCAGCAACGCCTTCATGCTCGAACTCTTTCAGCGGGCAGGTGTGCAGGTGGGTCGAGCTGCAAATACCGCTCTGCATCACCGCATTGCCTTAGGCATCTTGTCTGAGAGGATATGTTCCTCCAGTGGGTGTGGGAGACCGCCGGATTGTCCGTACGGGAGAGACCGCCGGGCGAGTCGGTATAATTGCGGCTGTGCCCGGCTGCCAACTGCCGGCTGTTCTGTTACGCCGTGCAGGTGCTGTACAACGTAAAGCAACGCAACTGGCCCAAAGAGCTTTTTGAAGTGCGTATGTACGTTGTCAAACCTCGGACGGCGCAGCAAAATCAGCAGAATGAACGACATCAAGAGCAATAACAAGAGCAGGGTGCACACGATGGAATGACCGACCACCACCAGTGCAATGGAAAGGTGTCACAGGGGGTTGGGGGTGCGATGATTGGGGGGCCAATGGTGACATAAGGAGGGGTTCCCGACGATTTCCAGCAGATGAGGACGGTCAGTGCTGTCGTTAGGCTGCGTGTGACCACAAAAACACAGGCATGAGTAATGGGCAATATGCACGCCGGCGAAACCTGTGCCCCCGGGTGATGAAGGTGATATTCGAATGTTGGACTAGAGTTTGGTGCAGGGTGAAACAGCGAGTGTGCATGCGGATGGCGTTGCCAGGGGGGACGAATTCGCACAAGGCAGGTGGTGTTGAAAAACACCGGTTAGATACCAACGGGTATCGAGGGGAAAACATAGACTGCAGTCAAGAGTCAGCTGGGACCTTAAGCCTTCTTGGCGGCCTTGGCCTTCGGCTTAGCGGCAGCCTTCGGCTTGGCAGCGGCCTTCGGCTTAGCGGCAGCCTTGGCCTTCTTGGGCGTCGCAGCCTTGGCCTTCTTGGGGGTGGCGGCCTTGGCCTTCTTCGGCGCAGCAGCCTTCTTGGGGGCAGCAGCCTTCTTGGGGGTGGCCTTCTTAGCAGCTGGCTTCTTCGCCGCGGGCTTCTTGGCGGCCGGCTTCTTTGCTGCCTTGGGCTTCTTCGCGGCCTTAGGTTTTTTCTCGGTCTTCGGCTTAGCTGCCTTCTTCTCCGACTTGGGCTTGACGGCCTTCTTCTCGCCCTCCTTCTTGGGGGCCTGCAAGAGGATTAGGTAATGGAGATGAGCGTTCGGAACTGGAAAATCTACGGAACGACGCTAGCGGAAACCAAGCTCGCAATTCGCGAACCGCGGAATAGAACAGCAAATCCGCTCACCTTCGCCTTCTTCGGCGCAGCTGCCTTCTTGGGTGCAGCGGCCTTCTTAGGGGCAGCCTTGGGTTTAGCCGCGGCCTTTGCCTTGCTCTTCTGGGCCTGTACCAGCCACGTAAAAAAAAGTCTTAGACATAAAGTAAATTGTAAACTTATTGGTCAAACTCAAGAACAGGAGCACCGTCTGCCACCTACGTCAGAGAGCTTGTAGCTGTTCTTGACCTTCACGAGCTTGCCGTTCTTGACGAACGTCTTCAGCGCCAGAGACAGCGTCTTCGGGAACTTCTTGTCGTGAATGTCCTGCAGGAAGTTTCGGCGACAAGGGTCAGCGCCCGCCAGGAACGTAGCATCGGTAGGTCCTGAAGGTCTACTTCCAGGCGCCATTAAACAGACGTCATCCGCAAGCTCGGAGATAACCAACTACAAGCACAGTCCTAATTTCTACTGCACAATATTCACATTTTGCGACGCATACCTTCCCGTATTTCGCCTCAATGAACTTCTTGAGGGCCGGAAGGGAGGACCCGTCGCGCTCCTTAAGGCTGAGGATGGCGTCCGTAACCATCTGAATGTATGGTGGGTGGGTAGGAGCCGTCTTGGGCTTCTTCTGAGTCTTGGCCTTAGGGGCCTTAACTTCAGGAGCGTCGCTTGCCATGGTCAAGGAAGTGGAAAAGATACTGAGAGTGGAAGTTGCCGAAAGAGTTGTAGAGGAGTTTAATTACAATAGTCACAATAGTGTTAGTAGTGGCTGGAGGTTGGCGTTTTATGTGTGTTGACTTGACAAAGTGACCGTTGGTGGCCCGGTGACCCGCTGACCCGCTGTACGAGTCCGTTGGGACGATACACCGTCGCCCCGTCGAATCGCCGTCGACCGTGCGGTCGTGCAAGCTGCCACGCGCCGTATCAGTTACCACACCCCTTAACCAAACAAGCCCTGAATGACCTGTTGCCTGTCTTTCATTGTCGCCTGACGGCGTGCCGCCAACGTGACCGTTCGAAAGCCTCCAGCTAGGAAAAAATTATATTCCGAAAGCAAAACCGTTTTCCAACGCCACAATATTACAAAGTACTGTTAAAAATTAAAAAACGAGTCGCATTTATTTGCAACAGTCTCCTGCCTGCGCTCGTAAAGCGGCGCCTCGCGGGTGGGTCAAAAGCACAGTCCTGTCCCAGAAGAAGAATTGAAACAAGTAGCCCAACAAACAAGCAGATAATTCGAAACTACTTATCATTTGTTCGCTTAGCTTTAAAGCTAATCGCTGTTTCGTGGGTTCCCTCGGCGCGCTGTTTCACGGACGCCGACCCCACCGCCGCGGCCGCGCCTCTCCTCGCGGCTGCGCCATGCGTTACCTCCACGAGCTCCCGCAGCACATCCTCCTTCTCACCGTGCTTAGCTTGCAATGCAACCTGCAGCTGCCATGCGCGCTGTTGCAGCGCCTCATACTGCGCGTTAACCTCGGCCGCCTCGGCCATCGCCTCAGCCGCTTTCTTCCGCATATTCTCCGCCTCAAACTGCGCCTGACGCAACCGCTCTTCCATCGACTCGTCATGGCGAATCATGTCGGCGTACTTGGCCTGCGGGGTGCACAGCGGGGGGACAATAAAACACACACGCATATTATATGGCATTTTCCACTACTGAAGTCACATGGCTCTGGATCCAGGTATGTGCTCACGTACAGACCGACAGACGTACATTCCGGCATGTGTGTTTCCCGCCATCCCGCCCTCGCCAGTCAGCACGTCACCGGCAATCAAGACATGGGCCCCACCTCTCCAGGGATTGCACGCGGCCCCAGCCATTATTATTGCATTGCGTAGAACAAAGCATTTCCGGTGTTCGAAGCACTTGCGGCGTCCCCGCCACCCTTTCCACAGCCGGGTACGGTGCCCCCCAACTCCCTTGGCAGCAGGTGGGGGTCGTCGACCTGAGCCTGCCCGTCCATCTCCCCCTCTACCCTCCCGGCGCCCCCCCTGTGTCCCGTATACCACCCCCCGCCGTGCTCCCCCGACTCCTCCCTCCTTACCCTCACACACACCGGCAGTTCACTTCCCACTTCCTCGCATATGGTGCCCCTCACCCTCACCCTCACCCTCACCCTCATCCCACCACAGCACACAATCAAAAGCAGCAGTGTCACGCAATTGTATCGCAGGAAAACACGGCCATGAACACAAACACGATGCGGTAGGGTAGTGTGGCCAAATTAGGATATACGGCAGCGAAGCAAGAGCGTTGCAAAGTCATGGGGCAACGTGTTGTTGCTGGAGTTTTCTCCTGTTTATAATAACCGCCAGATATTGCCTTTCTCCGCATTTTGATTTTTCGTCCGCATTGGCGGACGAGGTGCGTCTGCAAGGATGGGTCATCTCTCCACTCTCGAAGACCTCCCTCAGCGTCGGAGCTCCTGTCCGCGACCCGGCTTGACACCTCTCTCCGGCTAGTAGTGGCCCAAAACGGACCATAACATACACACATACAGACTCAAAGCCGCACATGCAGATTTCCACAAGATATATACACACATACATACACACACACCTGCACAACCTCTCTTTTCCCTCAGCTAGGCACCGATGCGCGCGGAACCCACAAACTCACTCTTCTCGTCCCCCTCCTTCGCCGGATGCACAGACAGACGGACAGACGGACTCAAACGTTTTAGTCGATGGCAGCCAGTTTCCCCCATAACCCCCTTGCAGACACAGGTACACAGACCCATCACAGAGGCACACAAATCATGAATACACGCACACTACGCACGCACATACATACAAACACACAAACACACATGGAGAAATAGTACCGACCTGCGATTCCAGCATCTCCTGCTCCACCGTCACAGCCCGTTCACGTGCCGCCTCCGCCACCGCTAGGGCTGCCTCCGCATCCCCGCGCAGCCGCATCGCCTCACGCCGCTCTGCCGCGACCTCTGCCTGCAGCTCCTCGCAGCGCAGCGCCGCAGCCTCCGCCGCCGCTGCAGCCGCCTCGGCGCGCACACGTGCCTCCCGCGCGGCGTCCTGGTCCCGCAACCCTTCCGCCTCCAAATCGTCGCAGCGGCGCTTCAGCTCCGAAATCTTCTGCGTCGCCGCTGCAGCCTGGGCCTCGTAATGGCGCCGCTGGCTGTGTGCGGACGCCAGGTCGGTTTCCAGCTCAGCAGCTCGTTTCTGCGACCTGTACGCGACGAGGGCAATGAAGAGGCAAGGCAATAGGAGCAAGAGGCAAGAGGCAAGAGGCAAGCAAGGAATAAGCGCAGGGGATGGCATGCGCGCCTGGTCAGGCAGGAAGGAAGGCTGGAGGTTGTAGAGAAAAGAAAGAGAGCAGAGAAGGAGAAGAGCCTCCAAAGCTCCATTCCGTCTTCCCCAGCAGCTCTGCTCCTTTTCCCCCTGCAGAGAAAAGACCCCTTCAGGTTGCTTTGCAGGTCTTGCTCTTCCTACGATAATTCCTAGCTCCATTCCAGCCTTCACATCTGCCTTACCTCTCCGCTTTCCGTTTGGCTGTCTCCGCCACCAATCTCGCCTCCTGGAGTTGCTCCACAGCGGTATCCAAATCCCGCCGCAGCGCCATCAGAGCCGCCTCCGCCGCCACCGCGCGCCGGCCGTCGCGCACCGCAGCTGCCGCCGCCGCCGTAGCCGCTTTAGCTGCAGCGGTCGCCGCCATGCGCTGCTCCGCCGCCTCCCGCGCCGCCGCCTCTCCCGCCGTCCGTACCTCCGACATGGCTGCCCTGACTGCCACCAGCTCCTTATCATCCCGAGCCAGCTGGGCCTTAAGCACCGCCAGGCTCTGAATGGGCTCCTGTGGGGCCAGCGAAAAGTCGGGAAAGAATATAGATGAAAGCGCGGCAGTACATGTGGAGGCATGTTTAATGGGCCCGCCCTCCGCCCCTCCGCCTCTCCGCCCTCTTCCTCACTCGCCTGTCCACCCTTGGACAGAGTCGACAATAGCTGCGTCACCAGACCCTCTAGAGCACCCAGCAGCGCCGGCGTCGCATCCCCAGCCGCCTCCGCCGCCACCGCCTCCGCCGCGTCCAACGCGCCGTCCACTTTATCCAGCAGCGCGGCCAGCACACGCTCCAGAGACCCCTCCACCAGCCCAAACCAATGCACGTGGTTCCCGCTGCTGCTGCCGCTGCCAGCAGCGGCAGCAGCGGCGGTGCCGCTGTCCGTAATCGGCAGGGGCGGCGGCGGCGCAGCCGCAGCAACCGCGGCAGCATCCTCAAGCAGCGCGATTCGTCGTCCAATAGCATCGGCTGCTTTGTCCATAGCTTGTAGCAGCGGTTGTGTGGCGGCTATGTGGGCTCGTAAGCGGTCTCGTTCCGCAGTGAGGGGTACGAGGCGCGCCTCTGCGGCGGAGGCGGCGGTCTGGGCCTCGTCCAGCGCCTGGGAGACCTCCGCCAGCCTTACGGATGCATTCGGGTGTGTGTGTGTGACGACCGACCCATGGGTCAAGAGTGCAGGGAAGCTCGGGGCGATTTTTGGGTTAACGCACACACAAAGACAACAATACAAGAGTTCGTCCAAAACATGAAGATAAGGACCAAGGTTTGGTTGAGAGGGAGGGAGAGATGGGTCTTTGGGAGGAGAGGAAAAGGAAAAGAAAGCCGCGAACCGAAGCAGGGGGAGACAAAAGCTCATGAAGCACCGCACGTTTCGCCACAAGTTAACAACGCACACACGCAGCACATCCGACATGACACGTCCGCCGCCACGCACCTGCTCTCCAGTACCGCCACGCGCTCGCCTCGCGCCGCGGCCTCCGCCTCCGCCGCACCCGCCTGGCGAATGGCGGCATCCAGCTGGGCGGCAGTGGCTCCGTGCGCCTCCGCCACCGCCATCCGGGCAGCTCTCCGCTCCTCCACCAGCTCCCCACTGAGCGCTTTGACGCGGGACTCCAGGGAGGCCGCCTCGATGGATTTGAAACGCAGCTGCTGCTCCAGGGTGGCGATTCTGGGAAAGCGCCCAAGAAGGGAATGGGATGGATCGTGGGTGTGCGGGGTGTGCGGGGGTTGGGGAGAGATGGGGGAGGATGGAGGCAGGGAAGTCAAGCACGGGTTGTGTAAATATAGTGGGTGGTGGGTGGAAAGGGGTTCGTTATTGGGCGGAGATATTGTAAGGTTCAGAGACACACACACACACACACTCTCTCTCTCTCTCTCTCCAGCCTCGAAACGAAGGGACTGAGGGGTCGCGCCGGCTGGACTCTCACCCCCCGTGTTCCCCTTCCTACTCGCAAATTGCTCCCTTTTGCCGCCATAACACATAAACGTACCTACGTCTATCCCTCGTCAAGGGAGCAGTTGCACCTGTGAGGCCACTGCTCTTCATGTGTCCCTTCATTTCCGTCACATACTGGCAGCGGCTCAGATCAGTAAAACACGTGCACACACGTGTGCGCACGTGCACCCGCACACATACATACACGTACACACGGTCTTATGTCCGCTCTTCTTCCCCTTCTTCTCCTCCTCCGCCCCCAACCCAACCTGTCTCTGAGCTCCGCCAGCTTCCTGTCCCGCTCCTCACACAGCCCCGTGGCATCCGCCAGCTCCTTCAGCGTATCCCGGTACTTGCGCTCAACCACCTCCATGTGCCGTACCCAGGCCTTGTAACCCACCAGGTCCGCCTCCAGAGCCACACGCTGGTCCCTGAAGAGGGTGCCGTGGGGAGAAGGGGGCGAGAAGGGGGGAAATTACTTGCTGTGCAAAAGCCAAAGAGCAACTGGCGCGACCTCCAAAGGCAGGAAAGAGGAGACAAGGTGATGGGGCACATGGGTTCCGGGAAGTGACGACTGCGGGGGATGGCCGGAGAGGAGAGGAGAGGAGAGGAGAGGAGAGGAGAGGAGAGGAGAGGAGAGGAGAGGAGAGGAGAGGAGAGGAGAGGAGAGGAGAGGAGAGGAGAGGAGAGGAGAGGAGAGGAGAGGAGAGGAGAGGAGAGGAGAGGAGAGGAGAGGAGAGGAGAGGAGAGGAGAGGAGAGGAGAGGAGAGGAGAGGAGAGGAGAGGAGAGGAGAGGAGAGGAGAGGAGAGGAGAGGCGAGGAGAGGAGAGGA